AATCCATGATTTAGTTACTTGGGGAGTTTCCCTCCAAAACTCAGAAAGCCATTCATTTATTCTAAACTGACTTAGTACACAGTTGACTGAGGCATATACAGAGGCTGAGTGACTTGCCCAGAGTGATATGGTTAGTATCTGGCAGATGTAAAACCAGGTCTCCAAGCCTAGCACTATCTCCTATACCATCCTTCCTCTATATGGCATTCACTCTATTAGTTATTTGCACACTTGCCTTAAACCCCTAGAACACAGGTAATTTTGTGTACTCTATACACTCACCCCAACTTCCACAGTCTAGCACAATGCCCACACAGTAAATATGTCAGTTCAAATTATGTCCCAGGTGAATCTGGCAAGAAGTAAGTCATCTATAATGGTAGAAAAAGTAATTCCAGTAGCATTGTGTGAATAGATGCTATTTTGCAGGGATTAAGAAAGGAACAGGTAAGGGCCAGCTAGGTGGTGCAGTGGATACAGCACTGGCCCTGAAGTCAAGAAGACCTGAGTTCAAATCTGGCCTCAGACCAAACACTTGACACTTACTAGCTGTGTGACCCTGGGCAAGTCACTTAACCCCAACTGCCACCAAAAAAAAAAAAGAAAGGAACAGGTAGACAGGAAGTAAATAATTTGGATATACAGCCTACATCAATGAAATTTGTCAGTGAAAAACTGGAATGAGACTGCACATCCAAAAGAGATAACAGAGAAATTACCACAATCCTGCTACTGTTATCTCCATTTTACTGATGAAGAAACTGTGGCTCAGAGGCTAAGTGACTTACCCATGGTCACTAAACTAATAAGTACCTGAGGCAAAATTCTAACCCTAGATCTCCAGAATCCCAAGTACAGTGCAGCACTGCATCTACTACACCAAAATGACTCTCAATAATTGAGCAAAATAAGCAATCAAATATTAATTGACTAATTCAAGCAGAGTACCATAATACAACCATCAAGACCTGGGTTCAAATTTGGCATCAGTGAGGCAGAGCCAAGATGGTGGAGTGATAAGAAATACTGCAGCCTCACTCCAAAAATCTCCTCCCAACAGATTGAGAAAATGCACCAGACTAAATGTACCAAATCCTGTTGGGGAAATCCAGTCACAGTGAGTCATTTGTCCAGCTCATTTCAGCTCAGGGAGACAGACAAGAAAGCCTATGGACACTGGGGAGGAGTCTGGCCTGAATCACAAGGTGTACAAAGCACTGCAGTGCCCAGGGAGAGGCTGTGTACTAGGGCAGAAAGAGATCCCAGACTCTTACAGGGCACTCCTAGACTCATACCAGGGCACTGCAACAGGGACAGGTGCCAACTGACAGCCTGTCAATCATATCCAGTTTCAGGTCACATAAGGAATGTAAAGAGGACTTACGGGAGAGGTGCATACCCACATAGAGAGGCCTTGGGTTGTGGATGGAAAAAGAAGAAAGCTCAGAAGCAATCAGCAATGGTATGGCTTAGAACCCAATCTTAGAGCACAGTCTCACTTCCCATCTCTAGCCCTGTCTACAGAGGAACAACCAAGGCAGGAATCCTAGAACAGAGGGAAGCCTTCACTCCTGTCACTTTGAACCAACATAGCTTTCACTTAGCTGATAGGGGATGAGTCCAGCATTAGTCTACTCTTGCTCAGACACAAACCTAGGTGAGGAACTTGCAGAGCTCAGCGGAGGGGGAAAAACTTCCAGACCTTGCCCTGGATCAGACCACTCTAGGAGCACTGAAAGCTTGCAGGTCTCCTCGCTTGTAACTGAGATACTGGTAGAAAACAAAACTCAATACCCCAAGAAAGCAGCAACAGGAACAACCTAGAAAGTGTGGCAGAGTCCAGCTCTAATGTCAAATCCAAAGTCATTAAGTAGATGGAAGAATGGGCAAACTAAAAAAAGGACCCCACCATAATAAGTTATTATGGTAGCAGAGAAGCTCAAGACCCAAACACAGATAAGGAGAATGACTCCAAAACATCTACAAGCAATGCCTCAAAAACAGTTTGGGCTCAAACTAAACTAGAATTCCTCGAAGAGATGAAACAAGAGTTTAAAAAAAAATTTTACAAATGGAATGAAAGTACTTGAGGAAAAAACTGGAAAAGAAATGAAAGCTATAGAATAAAGAGTTGTAAAAGAAACTAACATCTTGGCACTAGAGGTATGAAACCATGCCCAAACAAGGTGTGAATGGTAGAAATCGAAGCCAATGACTTCATGGGGCAACAAGAAATATTAAGAGGAAGTCAAAAGACTGGAAAAAAAAATAGAAGAAAATGTAAATTATCTCATAGCAAAAGCAACTGACTTGGAAAAAGAATAAGGAGAAAAAATTTTTAAATCATTGGTCTATCTGAACACCATGACCAAAAAAAAAAAAAAAGAGCATATATATACACATACGTGTATTTATATATATAATATGTTTCAAGAAATCTTTAAAAAAAAATTGCCCAGATCTCTTAGAACCAGAGAGCAAAGTAGAAACAAAAGAATCCACTGGTTACCTCATGAAAGAAACCCCAAAACGAAAACTCTTAGGAACATCAAAGCCAAAATCTAGAACTTCCAGAACAAAGAAAAAATACTGCAAGTAGCCAGAAAGAAAGAATTCAAGTACCACGGAGCCACAGGATCACACACAATTTAGCTGCCACCACCATAATGGAATGGAGACCATGGAATACAACATTCCAGAAGGCAAAGGCTATGGGCTCATAGTCAAGAATAACTTATCCAGCAAAACTGAATGTAATGCTATGGGAGAGGAAAAAAAATGGATCTTTAAAAAAATAGAGAATTTCCAAACACTCCTGATTAAAAAGGGAAAGGAAGGTTAGGGAAAATTATCTCACTTAATCAGAATGAAAGAGAAGAGGAGTTGGGAGGGGAAGGGAATGCAGAAAGATTTGAACCTCCCTCTCATCCAAAATAGTCAAAAGAAGGGAGAATACACATACACAGAGGAAGACAGAAATACATTTCATTCAACAGGGAAATAGGAGGGCAAGGGAATAGAGGAAAGGGAGTCTTGGAGGAAGGGTAAATCAAGGGAGGGATTAGTTCTCAGCAAAACAAACTTTAAAGATGTACAAAAAACTTTAGCTTTTTTTGAGGTGGGCAAGGAACGGGAACTTGAGGGGGTGCCCATAAATTGAGTAACAGATGGACAAAATATAGTATATACTATATATAGTATATAGAATACTATTGTGCTGAAATCTTATCAACATAATGACCAACCAGGATTCCAAAAAATTAATAATGAAACATGCTATCCACATCCTGATAGAGAGGTAAAGTACTCAGAATGCAGAACGAGACAAATTTTTTTTTGACATGGCCAGTGTGGAAATTTTCTTTAATTGACTATATATGTTTGTAATGGGTTTTGTTTTTCCTGTGTTTGGGTAGGGGGTGGGATAGGTGAGAAGACAGATCTTGGATGATTAAAACAAAGTATTTTTTTGAAAGTCAAAAGAAAAAAACAATTCTGCCTCACACACTTGCTTAGCTGTATGATCACTCCCAGGCAAGTCATTTAACATCTCTGAACCTATTCTCTCCTCTTTAAAATAAAAATAATAACAGCATCTATTTCACAGTGCTATCATAAGGATAAAATTAAATAACATGTAAAGCACTACATAAATGTGACCTATATCATCATCATCATTATTATTTGTACAGAACTATTAAATTAAATTTCTGATCATAGGAAAGGTTAGAGAAGATACAATACCGGCCCTCAAGTAATTCACAATCCATTGTACAATGGAAAAAGCACTTGATTTCAAGTCAAAGGACCTAAGTTCAAATCCCACCTCTGATACTTACTATCTGTGTCACCTTGGGCAAGTCACTTAACCTCTCTGGGTCTCAATTTTCTCATCTGTAAATGAGGGGGTTGGACTGGATGTCCTCTAAGGTCCCTTCCAGCTTTAAATTTATAATCCCAGTAGAAGGATGAGAGTGGTATAACTTACTAATATGACAAATATAGGAAATTTATTTCTACCTCAGATACAAATTAATATTTTTACTTCTGGATTTAAATACACTTTAAAATTCATCAAACTTTGAACAAAATAAAATAGCACCCATTCCACAACCTGACAGCATATCATCCTGGTTCCCCTTCAACCTCTCTGTCAATTATTTCATTTTAACATAGCTCTAGTTCTCCACCTCTCAGGAAGGTGGAGTTCTCTAAGTGGTGCTCCCAAGCCTCCAGTGGTGTCCTGGCCACCAATAATAATGGGTAATATTTATATTCCTCTTTTAAGATTTGCAAAGCCATTTTATATACAATACCTCATTTGAACCTCAAAATATCTGTGAGGTAAATGCTACTTTTATTCCCCGTTTTACAGGTGAAGAAACTAAAACCCAGAGATAAACTATCTTGTCCAAGATCACAGTAAAGACGCACTGTATTAGTAGGGAAAGACTGAAATGACCTGGGTTCAAATGCCTGTTCTTCACTACCACTGCTTAACCGTGGGCAAATCACTAAAGTTCTTTTACCCGCTTTTCCCATCTGTATAACGAGGGGGTTGGCACTCAGATAACCTCGAGAGTCCCTCCGACTGCTGGAGCAGTCTGAAGGCAGCACTGAAAGCCCAGGTCTTACAGACAGATTCCAGGTCCAGAGGGCCCCTCAGCAAGAGCCCCGTCACGCCCTTTCAGAGAAGACAGCTCACTAGAGGGCGTCAGGCAGACCGGGAGAGACCGAGTGGGCTCAAATCCCTCCAAACACAGACTCCGAGAGTCTCTGAGCTGGAAGAGGTCTTAGAGGTCATCCAGTCTAACCCTGTCACTTCACTGAGAAGGAAGCTGCGGGCCAGAGGGGCGAAGGGACCAGCCCCAACCACCCAGAGAGCTCCGGGCTGACCCCCCCCAAGGGGCGGCTCCCCGGACCCCGGTGACAAAGGAACGCAACCCTCGGGTGGGGTCGCGCCGAGCCGCCCCGCCCTGGCGTGGCCCCCCGCGGGTTACCTGCAGCACCATGGCTTGGGCCGCCCCCGGGGGGAAGCCCATGCGATCCGCCGAGTGGCGCAGCAAGCGGTAGAAGTCCGTCTTGCGGTAAAGGAAACCGAACAACACCCGCAGAAAGTCCTGGACGTTGCCCACGTGCTGCAGGATGCCCAACAGCGCCTGGTCATACAGCTCAGCCGCCCCGGGCTCCATGGCGACCGGCCCGGTCGGCCCCGGGGTGGGAGGGACACTGACACTCGAGGACAGGGGGCGCCGCGGCCTGCCTCGGCCTCGGTCTCGGTCTCAGCGTCAGCCGCCGCCGCCTCCGCCTCTGACCAGCGGTTTCCGGTGTGTGTATATGAGTGTGAGTGTGAGTGCGAGTGCGAGTGTGTGTGTGTGTGCGTGGGCGCACCGTCAACGGCTCCGCCACCCAGCCGCCTAGACTGAGGCACTTCCGGCCTGACCTGCTTTGCCTCCGGAGACAACGTCCCTCGCTCACCACCGAGGCCGCTGCCGCCGTCGGGATTTCCGGCGTGGGTGCCCTTGCTGAAAAGGCTCGCTGCAGGGGTGGGGGGGGAACCAAAAGAGGGCTCAGACAAGAAAGTAAGGGACTGCCGAGCACGTGATACCCGACGACCCTGTTAGAAGAGGGCAGAGGAAGTTTTCTACGCCTCCCAACCTTCACGTGACGTACGCACGTCAAACACACAAAACACCGGCGCTGGACGCTACGCGCGCGCGTGTGAGTCCCGGGCGTCACGTGACCCCGAGTGTCGGGCCCCTTTTTCTGAGAAGTTTTTTCACTTGGGCTAGAGGAGTCCGGCTATCCCGGTATTGTAAGAGCTGGGGTAAACCTGGGTCTGGGATCAGACGCCCCGAGGCCTTTAGCTAGTGTGGAAGTTAAACTCGGGTTTCAACACTCCTGTTTTGCGCGCCCGGGGAAAGGAGGCTCAGAGAGATTAGGTGATTTTACCCAAGGTCGCACAGCGCGACTGGATCCTGAACCCAGGTCTTGTCAAGCGCAGTGCTTGCTTTACCAGGCCCCAAAGAGTGCCCCATATCCCCAGCGAAACCGCTGAATTATGCTGCACTCTGAGAAGGGTACGGAGCATTGCATGTTCTTTCCGACTGGGTCCATGTGCTGATCTCGTTTTGCTAAACCGATTTTTTTTCTTCTCTTTATAATTCTTCAAATGAGATAACTAAGCCCTCTAGAAGCCCTGCAAACTTTAAAGCGCTATTTATATGATGACTAGTATTTTTTTTTGCTTTGGGAGAATATAAGATTTTGAAGGTATAAAGATTCAAGTTATTTTAAAAGTCTTAAAGACATTTAAGAAACCGAAAAACTTTTGCTTTAAGAGAAAATTGGAAAGTTTTAAAAACTTTTAAGCAGATGAAAGGGGTATATTTTATAGAGTACCTACTCTGCCCTAGTCAGGCCAACTCTGGAGTGTTAAATTCAGTCTGGGGTATATTTGGGAGACATTTAAATACGCTAGGTGAATAGAGTTGTGGGCCTGGAGTCAGGAAAACTTGAGTTCAAATCCAGCCTTAGGCACTTACTAGTTATGTGACCCTGAGTAAATCACTTAACCCTGTTTACCTCAGTTTCCTCATCAGTAAAGTGAGCTGGAGGAAGAAATGGCAAACCTCTCCAGTATTTTTGCCAAGAAAAATCAAACAGGATCATGGACAGTTGGAAACAAGTAAGACAAAACAACAATAAAAATAAGCTGAAGAGAGACCAAAAAAGTGAAGAGATCTTAAAATGATAAGATTAAAATCTGAAAGGGACCTTAGAGGGTTGTCTAATCTGGCCCTTCATTTTACATTTATAGGAAACTGAGTTCCAGAGAGTTTAAATGGGGGATACAAGATTAACAACTGACAGGATTCAAACCCAGGTCTTCTAATTCTAAATCCAGGATATTTTTGTGCCAATAAATTGTGTAATAGGAAGATCAGTAGATGCAACTGAAGCAGTGATGTCAAACTCAAATAGAGTTTGGAGCCACTATTGATGTATTGAAAGCCACATATTAGCTGGAAGCATTTGGTGAAGGGGGGGGGGGGGGAGTTGTGAAATGGCACCAAGATGTCTGAGGAAAAAAAACCTTAAATATTATCCACCAGATTTTGATCTATCAAATATCCATAAACTCAAGCTGATCAAAGATAAGCAAAATGTGGTGAGACTGATGGCCCCATTCAACATGTGATGTAAAGCATGTAGTGAGTATATTTATGAAGGCAAGAAATTTAATACCTGGAAGGAGACAGTGCAGAATGAGCCATATCTGGAATTTTTCATTTCTATATCAAATGTACCTGTTGTCTAACTGAAATCACCTTCAAAACAGACCCAGAGAATACAGATTATATCATGGAGTCACTCGAAATTTCCAGGCTGAGAAACTCCTGGAAGTTGAAGAGAAAAGGTACAGAAGGAAAGAAAAGATGAAGAACTAAATAATCCCATGAAGGGCCTGGAGAATTGGATCAAGGACTCTGAGCTAGACATGGAGGTACTAGAAAATCTGCAGAATCTGACAGTGCTTACCCAGTGCTAGGCTAATGTGGACTTTGAAGTGATGTTACAGCAGTACCAGGTGTCTGAGAAGGAGAAACTCCAGTAAGATCAGGAGAAAGCCAGGAGGTGGCGACTGGTCGAAGACACTGACCCTGATGCAGAGCCCACCCTTGCACCTGCCCAGCTGCTATTCAGGCCAAACCCACAGCCATCTTAGAGGAGGTCTCACATCTGAAAACGCAGAAGTTGGAGAGCTGGGAGCAGAGTATGGGTGCACTTGGCAGCAAATCAAAGCTGGCAGGCCTGGTTATGGCAGAGGCCAGCTGTCCCCAAGACCCAGCAGCAGCAGTGAGGTTGTGGCCTAGCACAAACATACAGCAGAATTTGAAGGAGGAGGCTGATATGTTACCCAGCATACCCAGGGTCTCATCCCTGAGCCACTTGGGGGCATACTCAGACAAGTGAAGATAGCAGCAATAGCAGCTGAAACAAAGGAAGCCTCAGACCCTCCAGTCCCCTCCCCAGTGGAGCCAAGCTAGAGTGGGTTTATTTCTTTGTTTAGTGAGCACAGCAATGTGAAAAGAAGCATTAGACTGGAAGCAATGCTGCCAGGGGTTCTTTGTGGTGAGTTCAGTGTGCTTTCCCCACTTCTGAGCTGCCCAAGAACTGACTGTTCCATTCTGCTGCTCTCCAGGCCCCTAGGCCCCAGTAGGATTCAATGTTGTGGTACTCTTCCTCTGAATCTTTCCACTTTAGAAAGTGGCAACCAAAGATCTGATATCTATTCCTAGCCTAGTGGTCCCCATAATAGCAGGGTTGGACCTAGAGAAGATATTGGGCCTCAGCCCTGCTTCCTTTGGACCCCTGCCTTTCATGCTTATCAAGCCCAGGCAGCCAGGGCAGAATCACTGGGGAGGTAAGGAGTTACCTCTTTCTTTCCCTGGAACTTCAGAGCTTTCCAGAATTCATTTATCTCTGTCACTGGTATGTCATTCATTCCATGCCATACAGAATGACATTTTGCGTCAATGCCCAATGCTAACAGCACGTGTGGGAGGTTTGCCTTCCTCCTAACCCCATACCAAGTAGCTAGGTGGCTTAGTGGATAGAGCACTGGACATGGAGTCAAGAAGGCCTGAGATGAAGTCTGATCTCAGACACTTATTAGCTGTGTGACTCTGGGCAAGTCACTTAACCCTGTTTGCCTCAGTTTTCTCATCTATAAAATGTGCTGGAGAAGGAAATGGCAAACCACTCTTATTATCTTTGCCAAGAAAACCCCAAATGGAGTCATGAAGAGATAGACACGATTAAAAATGACTAAACATGTGCCAGGCACTGTGCTAAGCACTGGAGATACAAATATGGAAAAAATAAAGACAGTCTCTGCCCTCACAGAGCTTGCAATCTAGTAAGAGAAGACAAGATTCAAAAGGAAACTGAAAAAGGGAGAGGAGGAGAAGAAATAATCAAAATGCAGGCTTGGTGCAAAAAGTCAGATAAGTCACAAGGTAGGGCAGCCAGGTAAGAAGTGAGTTTTCTAAACTGAAGTCCCCTTAAATGGAGATTGGAAGTTCGTGGCCCCACCCTTCAATCAAAGAGTCATATAGAAGGTTTAGATTGTTAACCTGGAGTCTATGGACTTGGTTGGTTTGTTTTTTAATGTTCACTTTGTTTCAATATGATTGGTTTCCTTTGTAATTTATTTTTTACTTTATGCATTTAAAAACATTATTCCAGGAAGAGTTTCTGAGGATAGGTTTTACCAGAATACCAGTGGGGTCAATGACACAAAAATAGCTTTTAAGATCTCCTGCCCTAGAAAAGAGAATTAGAAATAAGGTGTGGAATTGCAAAAAACACAAATTTCTCCTCAGTGTAAAGAGAAACTTTCCAATACACCCCATCACCACTGAAGAGGATTCAAGGGAGAGCTAGGTGACAACTTGGTAGGAATCATAGATTTAAAGCTCTTTCCATTTTAGGAGGGGGCTCAGCTCAGAACATTTTTTCTTTTCTCACTGGCTGCACTATTCCAAGACATATCTGACTTCCCCAAGTCCCTGAAAAGGGTATCTTCTCCCCTCTTACCAACCCCCTACTTCGACTTTTCAGCTTCCTTTTGCGTGTTGTCTTTCCCTACTAGATCATGGAGGAATCTTTAAGAGCAGGGATTGCCTTTTTTTGTATTGAAATCCCCAGCATTTAGCACAGTGCTTAGCACATAGTAGGTGCTTAATGAATGTCTGTTGACTATGGCTAGAACCAGAAGAGGCCTCTGAGATCTTCTAATCCAACCATCTCATATTACGGATGATGAAACTAGGACCAGAGGTTAAGAGATTTGCCCAAGGTCACATAAGCGGTTAAGTGGCGGAGCTAGGATTTAAACTTTGATCTTGTGATTCCAAATCTAGTGCCTTTCTCCACTGTACTTCACTATTTTTTAAAATTAACTTATTTTTAGTTTTCAACATTTGCTTCCGCAAGATTTTGAATTCCAAATTTTCTCCCCGTCTCATCCCTCCCCCCACCCCAAGATGGTGTGCATTCTGAATACCCCTTCCCTCACTCTCCGCTCCCTTCTATCACCCCCCTCCTCTTATCTCCTTCCCCTTCTCTTATTCCCTTACCCTTCTGTTTTCCTGTAGGGCAGGATAGATTTCTATACCCCATTGCATATATATCTTATTTCCCAGTTGCATGTAAAAAAACAGTTTTTAACATTTGTTTTTAAAACTTTGGGTTCTA